AAAAAAATAAAAAGGCTTTCGGCAGTGCGACCGGCGTAGGTGGTCAGGTGGGAGACCAGAAAGTAGACGGCCAATTTGGGCTTATAGTAGGCCATATGGCCGGCAACCGGCTCTTAACGAAACCCCTGGTAATGTATCTTTAATTTGTTCATTAGCATTGCAATCACTCATTGCCTGGTCCGGACAGGGATCTTTTATTCAACAATTCAGGATTTGTTGTTGTTATAAACTTTCTGTTTCTATAGTCAGTTAATAAAAATGTTCTTGGTAGGAATATTTCCAGATTACAAACTTGGATTTGATTTCAAAAGGTTTTCCTTTCAATTTATAAAACATCAGCTTTTAACTATTGAGAAAACACATTAACAACTTTGTCCTCTTTTTGGAGTATACTGTATTTGTTCTTTTAGTACCGCGTGTGAACTCGGTCCTAAAACAAGTACATGTATCAGCGACTTTTGTGAATTTGTGTCTTTGCGAATTCCACTTAGTCATAAGTTGGGAAGATTCTTAATATTGAAAAAAGTTCCCAGTAAAATAATCATTTGAATTGACTTGTACTGTTTGCAGGATGATGATGGCAACCTACTAGAGACAGAGTACGGACTTTCTACGTACAAAGATCATCAAACATTGACGATACAAGAAATGCCCGAGAAAGCTCCCGCTGGACAATTACCACGATCGGTTGATATCGTTGTTGATAATGATTTGGTAGATAAATGTAAGGTAAGAACACCAATGTTCCCTCATCAAAGAGAAGCTATTGGAAGTGCGCCCTCTTAAGCTGATATGACACGTAACTGACGTAAAAGGATTGGCTGCGACTATTTATGCTAATTCACTGTGCATCATTGACAGTTTTTTTTTAAACAAAGGAACAGGGGCGCAGCGCTCTCATGCTATGGCCATGCGCCCCCTTACTTTGGGGAGCATAACATTTTTATTGACGAGGGATCACATGTGGCCAGTCTTCAACTGTGACCTGTCTGATAGTAATTTTGGCCCTAAGGAAGCCATAGAATGCTCCATTTTAACTTAGAATTATCAAAAACTCTACACCCTGGTAGAGAGAGCCCTATCCCACTTGGTGGCGCTGCTGAATTGCAGTGCTCCCTCTTGCAGTTATTTTTCTAGAAAAACCCTTGATTGATGCAACAGAAACTTGTACATTTAGTGAACTTGCAAAACATCTTGGTAAAATTAAATTCACATTTTATGAGACCAACATCTTCAGCAGTCAACAAGCTGAGCCAACTTCCTTTTTTGGGGAATCCCTGTTATGGAGAACACTGCATATTTGTTTGTGTGAAATATATTGATTCTGTCTACTATATATCAATCAAAATATAATAATTTCACTGTTATAATAAATTTGAATTACGAGGTTGCTGTTTTGTTATATTATTCAGTAAGAAGTATATTACAAATTTGAACAGATAAAAACTTAAATTATTGAATTTTTGATAGGCATATTACTATGAAAACTAAAAATGTCAAATAAAAATTGTCTAATTTTTTACTGTCAGTTTGTCATAAAATGAAATGTTCACAATGTGTGTAAAATTTGTGTGGACAAGTGCCTTTTAACAAGGAAATTATGTAATTGTGCTTAAAATGTTCGTACAAATGGATTAGAAAAGTCACAAAAGAGTGCAATGAAGATAAATGTATTGAAATTGCAAATGCCTTGAATGAAATAGTGTCAGATAACGATGTAACTTGTTATGATTACAGCCTGGTGACAGAGTTCAAGTAATTGGTATCTATCGATGTTTACCAAGCAAGAAAGGTGGATATACATCGGGAACGTTCAGGTACAAATAAACGCCATTGTTGATGTTGTGAAGAAGAAAAAAATAGCATGCCATTATCAATACATTAATAATATATGTGTAAAAATTGATTTTAAAATTAGTTTCTACCATGTGTGGTTACTAAACTCTTGAATATATTAGCTTGTATATTTGACAGGTTGGGATACAGAAAAATTGTTGAAACTTGATCAGTTAATTTTTTTTTTTTACAATCTTTAACAGAACTATTTTATTAGCCAACAACATAAAAATTCTCAGTAAAGAGATTTCCCCGCTGTTCTCTGCGGATGATGTGACGAAGATAAAGAAGTTGAGTCGCAACAAAAAAGAGGATGTCTTTGAAGTTCTCGCTAGATCTCTAGCGCCCTCTATCCACGGACATGAGTATATCAAGAAGGCAGTTCTCTGTATGTTACTTGGTGGTGCAGAAAAGATTTTAGAAAATGGCACTCGACTAAGGGGGTAAGGAATATACATTTCCTGTATTTAATCAAAGGTTATGAGATTGCACTTCTGATAAAAAACAGAATAACCCGTCACAGGTATATGCCATTTCATTGTTTAGTTTTGATTTATTTAATAAAGAAATCAAACGTTTGTAACCATTTCTGGAGATATGGAAAGATTGATGCACGAGTCAACTTTATTCCGTACCATTGTGTCACAGAATGCTACTTGTTGGTAACCATGGAAACATTGTGAAAATAGAAAAGTCCAGCTTATCAAATGGGTTTGTCGTTAGTACACTAACCACCTGACAGTTAATTAGTGCTTTACCGGCTTTCATTCTAGAAATGTTTGTCATATCTCAATCATTTGCCTCTTGATCGCATATTACATTTAATTGATCTTGTAAATGACCAACCTGATAAAGCTTGGAGCAAGCGCCAAGCAATTTGAATTATTCCCTGAAATAGTGCTTTATTCTCTCCAGTTATCACATAAACATGTATTCTTTCTTGATCTGTGTAACCATGGTATTTAAAAGATTTGAAGTAATGGCATGAGAAAATAGAATGTTATTTGGGGGGCAAAAACAAATCTTGAGCACCCCTCCCAACTATACTCAATATCAACAGGTATAAGATCTATTGCAGTATGTATCATAAGTGTATATTTAGTTCCCGTTCGGACGTAGTCCGAAAACGGGGACTTGTGTTTTGCCCTCCGTGCGTCCGTGATCACCTGTATCTCAAACATGCATGGACCGATTAAGTTCAAACTTCACTCATACATCACACATTATATGGGACATATGCACAGGCATTTTTTTT